TTCTTTGTTCCATTAATTTTTATAGAGTATTTGGAGTATTGAGTAAATCCTGTGATATATATATATATATATATATATATATATATATATATATATATATATAGATCAGTGATGGCAAACCTATGACACGTGTGTCAGAGGGGACATGCGAACTCATTTTTTTGGTTGATTTTCCTTTGTTAAATGGCATTTAAATATATAAAATAAATATCAAAAATATAAATCTTTGTTTTACTATGGTTGCGAATACCAAAAAATTTCTATATGTGACACGGCACCAGAGTTAAGTTAGGGTTTTTCAAAATGCTAAGACGCCAAGCTCAAAAGGTTAGTCATCACTGTAGTAGGTCCTCAGGTTACCGGAGATCTGTTCCTATGGAGCAACATAACACAATTTTCGCTGTAAGTCAAAACACAGCTACGTAAGCAGCAAAGTCACTCACATGGTGCATATACACAACAGTAATGAAGTGAAACAGTAAAAAAAAAAGAAAAGAAAAAAGAAAGATAATTCCTGACCTTTACTTGTGGTAAATAAATAATAAAAAACATAAAGCACATATGTACATATAAGGGTAAATACTGTATTATCTTTACCTTTACTACTGTTGTTGGCTTGCACACTGGACGTTGCAAAACTGGGAAAGACAGGCTTACACTAGGCTGCTGTGGGGAGGAGGTGTGAGAGGCAGAACCTTCAGAAGGTACATGTGATACTGGGTCATGTGAGTCTGGAGAGGCATATGCAGTAGAGGGTACAGGATCTGTTGCAGGCCTCTCTACCTTCTTAAAATAATGTTCAAGGCTAGTCTGGAAGGATGCCTTCTTCTTATCCTCCCAAATTTCCTTGTAACACCGCAGGCTATCCATGACCCCTCTGGCAACCTTAGTGTACCTGTCAATGTTGGGGTCCTGAGCCTCAAACCTTGCCAAGGCATCCTCTATCATGGCAAAAGCCCCTGCTAATTCATTGCTTGTAAATCTCTTGGGCTCTGGGATTGATGTGTCTTCCTCTTCAATTAACTGCTGTTTCAGTTGAATGAAGTACTCAGTAGATAGCTCCTCTCCATGAGATGCCAGCAGCTCTGTGACATCCTCAGCCTCCATCTCCAAATCAAGCTGCTTACTCAACTCAACAACATTCTTAATGAGGACCTCAACTGAATCCTCAAAGCCACGGAAATCATTCACAAACTGGGGACACAATTTTTTCAAACCACCATTCAGGTTCGTCTGCTTAACTTCATCTCAAGAATCAGAAATGCTGTCAGCTGATTTCTCAACAGAAACTTTGCAGGCCAGAAGGGAATGGCAAGAAATATTCAAAGTGCTGAATACCAAGAACCTACAACCAAGATTACTTTATCCAGCAAAGCTATCATTCAGAATTGAAGGTCAGATAAAGAGCTTCACAGATAAGGAAAAGCTAAAGGAGTTCATCACCACTAAACCAGTATTACACGAAAGACTGAAAGGTATCCTTTAAGAAGAGGAAGAAGATCTTAAAGGGCAGCCCCTTGGAAGCACAGTAGTCCTTCACTTCTGGCACAAAATGGTTGGGGAACCAGTCCTCAAATACGCCAAGTGTCACCCAGGCCTTCTTGTTAGATTTCCAGATGACAGGTAGTTGACCCTTCCCTATGCCCTTGGGTGCTCTTGGATTCTCGGCCAGACACACCAAGGGCTTCAGCTTGAAGTCACCAGCAGCATTAGCCCCAAGAAGCAAAGTCAATCTCTCCTTGCCGGCTTGATGGCCTGATGCTGTCTTCTCCTCCTTGGCAATGTGGGTACCTGTAGGCATAGGCTTCCAGAACAAGCCTGTCTCATCCACATTAAACACTTGTTTATCACAGTAACCCCCCTTCCTAATTATCTCAGCCAACACACTAGGAAAATCACCTGCTGCTTTCGCATCACCACTAGCAGCTTCCCCTGGCACCTTAAGATTATGCAAATTACCACGAGTCTTAAAACACATCAACCAACCTTTACTAGCCACAAACTCTTCACTTTCACTCCCTTCCCCCTTTTCTTTTTTCAAGGCCTCAAACAATCTCTTAGCCTGCTCCTGAATCAACATCAGGCTAACTGGGATACGCCGTTGATGGTCCTCATCTAGCCAAAGCACTAATAATCTTTCCATCTCAATGAGACCACTATGCTGCTCTGTAATCACAGTTGATTTCACAGGAGCAGATCCTTTCACCTGTTCAAGTGTATGCTTTTTATCACTGATGATCGTCAAGACAGACATAGGACTGAGGCCAAGCAACTGACCTGTGTTCGTCGGTATTTTGCCCTTTTCCGAGCATCTTATTACATCTACTTTCACTTCCGTTGTGGTTTTCCTTCTTTTCATAGCAATGCCACCTGAAGAATCTGCCTTATGCTTAGGAGCCATAAGGAAGGGCAAAATGTCTTCAAAATAACAACACAAAGGAAAG